CATTTTCCACGTCTTCTCCCCAGCTGAGACCACATACAGAGCATTAATTAGCACATATCTTCAACAGATGCATGCATGTTCACTGAAGTCATCTAGCATGGCAACAACAAAAAGGAGCTGTAGATGAACTGACCTGTCATCAGGTGATCACAGTCCACACTTCAGAACATTATTTTCATCAGTTTCAGAAGTGTGCACCACACTCAAATCTCATTTGTCAGAGTTGCTCCAGCTCCTCCTAAATATCGAGACTCCCGACATTTTGAAATACTACACATTATGAACACTAACTTCTGCTTTGCATTTACCCAGATACGAAGAAGGAACAGAAGGTTAGACGATGCACAACTCTATTACTTCCATTGGGTTATACCTTTCTCCAGTTGTCTCACTGCTATTATACAACATTGGCAGAAAATCAGGTAGTGTGCCGCCATAAGTCACATTAATTGCATCATGAGTTTGATCATGCCACGCTCCAGCTTGTCCCAGATTTGCGAAATTCTAATTTCCTATAAACGTGTGCTTCAAATCATAGAACACAAGAGTCCAATTGGCAATGGATGTTGAGAGTCTAAGACACAAAACTGATATGATAAAGAACTGCTTCTGTTTTGAGACGACGTGGTTTAGTTTTCAAAAACAAAGTGGGATGTTTTTATTTTGTACAGTCAGAATAAATAAAAAGCTGAAAGCAAAATCAAAGCAGAAACTCATGGATATAAAGAAATAACATTCACCTGCAGGCTGCAACCAATGTCATCTTCGCTGTAAGGGACAACAAAATGAGAGATGAATTGAAATGCGTGTGTAGCTACTACCTATTCTGCATGAACAAAAGAGACATTAGCAGCTGACCTGTCAGCATGGAACGAACTTCTCCTCTGACACTGGCAGCGTAGGAACATCATATTGTACCGTAGCTTCACATTGCGGCATAGAGTCCACCAGCACCAAACTTGGACGTTGAACACATATACAGAGCATGCATGAGTTTAATTTATCAGCAAATCTGTTATAAGTCCACGCCAAAAAAAGAAGAGAAATCACGCTGAACAATGTAACATAATACTACAAAGAAAGAAAAGGAGTTGTTACTTGCTTAACTGACCAACTATCTTGCTTCCGAGGCGAACTGTCGAGTGCTGAGCAAGTGAACTCCCTTCTGGATCAGAAAGAAATCCCATGCCTTCCAACTTCGCTTGAACTTATTCAGTACCCCATGGGAGCACAGGATGGCTGCGAAACTCCCTGCTCACTTCCCATCTAGCAGAGTTGCTCTGGTTTCTCCTAGATATTAAGATTTCTATTATTTTTACTCTGAAGAGTGAACACTGAAAGATTTTTGTTTATCTATCTTTTTACAAACAAACAAACAATATGATCTTCATCGCAGTTACAAAGTGGATTAGCTTTCGAAGAAAAAAAATCCATGTAGAGACCACGGACATAAAAAGCTGCCACCTGCAGGCTGCAGTCAGGAAACTATAACATATAAGCTTCATATGTCCTCCAGATAAATAGCAATGGAAGTAACGACATTGCATTGAAGCAGAGTTTTTGACAACCAAATATGCATCTAGAAGATAATTGTGTTCAATTTATTTTAAATTCAGTAGCACAGACATAATCTTTTGCAGACGTTGAGATAAACAGTTGGTGTGTACGAAAGAAAATCTGACAACTATCAGCAGAAATCAGATGAAATCTAACAAAATCAAAGGAGGTTTGAGCTGTACCAACATGGAATCAGAAGACGACGGTAGGATCAGATATTCAGAAGAATCAACGGGAAGGGAAACCAAGGGCTGTATATATCATCCGTAGTATTGGAGGGAGACAAACATCATCAGATACCCAAACGGAACTATCAGTGGATCACATGGCAGGAAATAAGCAGACGGAAATTCTACCTGTAGGTACTTCCTTCGTTCTTTTTAGTCTGTATATAAAATTTGGTCAAAATCCAACTTTGTAAAGTTTGACTACCTTTATAGAAAAAAATATCAATATCTACAATACTAAAGCTATATGATATGAAAATTAATTTCATGATGCATCTAATAATATTAATTTATTATTGTGAATCTTGATATTTTTTCCTATAAACTTAGTCCAAGTTGACAAAGTTTGACTTTGACCAAATTTCATATTTTTTTTCAAAAAGGAGGTTATCCCCCGGCCTCTGCATTAGAACGATGCATCCGGCCATTTTATTAAAAAGAAAATAGTTCAACAAAGTCTCCATGTCTCAAAAAAAGTAAAAAGGCTCACAAAGAGCCATAAGAGCATGAAACAGGATAGCCACAACCGGCGGAATAAAAATATTTAGGAAATTAAACACCTATTCTATTACATGACCGCCATCCAAACCGGTTGAAGATAGCCCATGCTACCGTCTCCCACCGGATAGACCCTGTAACCATATGCTCTCTGGCATCCGTCGGAGTCAGTAGCGACCACATACGGATGAGTGTAGTGGCCTGAAAAATAACGCATCCGTCGACAATGTCACCCAGGTCGTGGTAACTCCGTTCCTTCTGCAGTCGCAGCATAGGATGGTTGGGGTGTGTGTCCACTTCACGTTGCAACATACCAAGCCTGGCCACTTTACCATCCCAATTAAGCCAAATCTCCTTGAGGCTTGGAAGGTGCTCGATACTATTAATCCCTGATTCCAACCTTCAGAAATTGATTTCTATCTTTGCCAGCTGGGGCGAGGTGTCCTCCTCGAATTCCACCTCGCTCAGTTGCCACAGACACTTAAGGTAAAGTTTCTTTAGATTTGGGAATGCCCCTGTTTTGAACGCTAACTTCTCCCCAATATAAGATCTGTATACAAGACGAAGCCCCATGAGGTTGGAAAGTCGCCCTATTATTTCCATAATTTTACATTCTTCCTTTATTGCGCTGCCCCCTAAATAAAGCTTGACCAAATGTATCAGATTGCCAACCCAGCCAGGAACCTCTTCAAGGGATCCATCCAACTTCAGACTCCTCAACATGGGAGGAGGAGAGGAAAAAACATGCAGCCACTCGAGTGAACCATCCACTTCAAGAGAGTGGAGGCAAGTGAGCTTCTGAATGACATCACAGAGTACCTTGCATTTCTGCTTGGCGGCCCCTTTTGTTACCACACTCAGTTTTCTCAGCTGCACAAGCTCACCTAGCTCTTTAATTGCTTTGCAACTAGTTCGGCTGATGTCTACAACCTCTAGTATTTGCAGCTCTTTTAGTTTGCCGATTCCTTTTGGCACCCTCACACCATTAGACTCTGACCAACAGCTAGACCAGGCCATGTATAGCTCGGCAACGGTATGGTCACTAGGACCTTCCAAAGGTGTGAAAAGCGTGGGCCGACAAAATGTGTTCAACAAGCATTCCTTGCGTTCATTCAGGTTAAAGTATTTGTACCAACTGCTTTTGGTACAACGGAGACTATGTAGACTCTTGAGTTTAGTAATCTCAGTTGGCAGTTTTGTTATATAACTACGTCTTATGTCCAAAAGTACGCAAGCCTTGCAATTTTCCTATGGATCTTGGTAGTTTATATATATATGAATGTGAATACACTTGAGGAGGACTAGACAAATTCACATACTTCAAGTGGCGCAACAAGCCTATGTTCCTGATATCTTTTTGTGTGACTTGAAACTGTGCATTCTCTAGATCCAAGGCTCGGAGCATTCTCATATGAGGTGAACAAACTAAAGGTGATGGCCCCAATGATCTCTCACCAAACACAGTTACTGACCGGACATGGCTCCAATCAATGTCTAACTTTTGGCACATGACACCATGATATGCTACATGCCGGAAGGTCTCCTCGGCAACACTAGTTACATTATCTCCCACTACATATATGAAGTTTTCATCTTGAGAAACTGAGATCATGACATCCCGCACAATATCATGGACTCGAAAGCTCTTAACAACTCCTTCTATGTTCACTATTGATGGTTGAAGCAGGCTTCGGTTGATTAACTCAGTAAAGTAACCTTTTGCGACATCCTCAACGTTCACCCCAGTCCTAGCTCTAATAAACCCCTCAGCAATCCATCTTTCTACTAGACGCCTCGTCTGAATTTCTAAATCATCGGGAAAGATGCTTAGGTATAAGAAACATGATTTAAGATGAGATGGCAAGTGGTTGTAACTCAAAGTGACCATCCTCTTCATTGCTTCAAGGCTTGGATTATTCTCAAGCTCAAAGGGGAGTTGGTTATAGATGTTCTCCCACTGTACTATCTCTTTAGTAGCAAGGATCCCTCCAATTGTGAGTATAGCCAGCAGTAAACAACCACACTTTTTAACTAGTTTTTCAACTATATTTTTGAAGTTCACATCTTTTTCCTACTTTTTTTAGAAGCAATTTTTTGGCATCGACCGGCTCTAAGGGCTTTAGCTGGTAGATGAGGGATTCACGAGTACATTCCTTTGCTAGACCAACATCTCGTGTTGTTACTATTATCCGACTTCCCTTCTTGTTACTACTAGGAAGAAAAATATCTTTGATCCACCCCCACGCACCTATGGTCCACAAGTCATCCAGAACAATGAAGTACCTCTTCTCCTTAAGCCCTTCAATGAGGTACTCGGCGAGGTCATCTATTTGCTCCAGTTTCCCTTCAAGTTTTCTCAAGAATTCCTTCAGTGACTTGTCACCCAGAAGCTGGCTGATCATATCCTTGAGCATCTCTATCCTAGAAAATGACTGCGAGACTGTGATCCAAGCACAACAAGAAATACTCTTCACAATTTCTTCCTTACTTTCATATACCTTTCTTGCAAGAGTAGTCTTGCCTAAACCACCCATGCCAACAACACATATAGCTTGGGCACAACCATCTTTATTGTCGACGTCCATCAGCTTAATCAAATCCTCCTTAGGCTTTTTAAAGCCCACAAGTTCCGCTTCATCAGTATTTTTTTCCGAGTGATTACGTACATCTTCTATGTAAGAAACCTCCTCATCATTGTTGCTGGAGGCTTCCGTCTTGATTAAGTTGTAGCGTGAGTTCCTGCTACTCACCTCTTCAACTCTTGATTTCAAGTTGCGGATTTGGATGGCAATCCTACGACGATCTTTGAGCTTCATCAGCCTTTTTGTTAGGCTTTGGCTTCTCACATGAACCATAAATTCATCAAGGCAATCTTCAATATTGTAGGACAGGTCCCTTACTTGCTCTGCCCACACCTTCAGCAGCATGTCTCTGTTCTTCGTTGCTTCAGCGGCCGCCAAGAATGCCTGCATCGTCTTTAGCTCATCTTTGATGAACCTGCAAAACAAAGGAATGTTAGAAAGAATCTTAATTAGAACATTGTATGCGGTCATTTTATAGATCATGGCATGTATGCAACAATGCACGAGGAACTTTGCCACCTCCATGATACACGAAATATTCAAATAATGGAAAGTAGATCTGAAACATGCATGAAAACGCTCCTAGGTGATGTTCTATAGATCATGACATTAACAGATTGCAAGAGGTAACTGCATGCATGCGCACATACCAAATATCCTTTTGCACGCCCATCACCAAGCTAAGCTCTGCGGCAGCAGCGGAAGTTGCCAAGCTGATGGCGCCTCCCAACATGGACCTCGCCATGCTCACCACTGTCTCCGCCATCTCCGGCGGGCCTCTTCCCTTCGGTCACGTATCAAGGTCAGAACAGTTATGGGTGTTCTGTTCCTCTGGATCGGAGAAGAGAAGGTGAACTGAGCATGTCTTGCGCTTGGGGTGTGCTCTGATTTATAGCCGGTAGGTCGTCTCAAAAGAAAGGCATCTTACTATGGCCACACTACACTAGTGAGGTGTAGTGAGTACACGTACGGCATACGTGTGTCCTAATAATAATCAAGTAATTGCAGTGTCCTGTCATCTTTCTGTTTGGTTGGTGCATCACAATTAATCTGGTTGTTGCAATGTAGCCATCCCCGTACAAAAGGAAAGGGAGACGAGTAACTGAGAGCTAAATCTAAGAATGGTTTCATACTTAAACCATACTTGAACCATACCCATACATGTCTCTCTCAAAACCATACTTGAACCATACCCGTTTAATGCCATTTTCAGCCCAATCAAAACTAAACCCTCTATTTTTTTCCACCCAAACCAATTTAAACCCAATACATAACCATGGGTTTAAACCAAGTACATAACTATGAGTTTGCTTCAATGTATATATGATTGCATAAATTGACATGTCAAGAAGCAAATGACATAGAAAAGGCATAAGTGCATCTACAACAATTTAGGAAGAAAGTTATCGTTGAGATACGGTCAAAACACAACAAGTGTCAAAAAGACAATGCCCACGACTGAAAAGCTCACCGACGACAAGTGTATTAAAACCAATTGCTTAGCTAAAGCACAAGCAAACACGTTCGATTTGCATATGGTGTTTCCCCATAATACAGAATTACATAGTGCATCGCAACATGTACGCGGATCAAAGATACTCGTTGTCGATGCGTAGTTACTTATTGCACATAACCAATGCCCAGAAACCGGTTTGGACCCATAATTTATAGCCGTTAATAACCAAACTGTTTAAGCCCATAACCAACTATATCCAAATTGGTTTCTTCATATACCCAAACCAAAACCAAACCAAAACCAAACTAAAAAGGATTCAGCCCAATAAAACCCGAACCAATCAAACCCAAAGCAACAACCGAACTGTTTCACCCAGTTTTTTAATAACCATTCTCAGGTTTACTGAGAGCACATGGCCTGCCGGTCATCTCTGGCGCCGATTGATTGAGATGAGAGCAAGTTTAATTAACCAACCACAACCAAACCAGAGAGACGATTGTCCACACGGTTAACAATACTAGATAATTAGACCCTAACTAGTTATGATTGTTGAGCAAATGGGGGTTGAAATTCTGGAAGAAGCTGGGGTGTGGTCCGATTCTAGAAGAATCGTGCTCGTGCAAAAGAGCTAGCCCGTGATAGTATTATGTCCTGTTCCCCTTGCATAAGGCTTTGTATTTGCCAAACTTTAACAGTGGCATGCCCCTGTACATGTCACTTTGGAACACTGGTGTGAGCGCGCTCTTTATTTTTGAATAGTTTAAAAATCATATTTCGAAGCTTCAGAAAATGATAAAATCAAATTCTACATGGTAATATGGATGTATACTGCCACACGTGCAATGTTTTATGATGAAATAAGTTGACATGTCGCAAATGTGTGGATTTTTTGTGGTGAACAGTGAGCATATTGTTCATCTTTTTGAAATCATGAATTGCTTTCTAGACGAAGTGCCTTTTCAAAATCACTTTGATTCACACAAATTTCAAAGAATTCAAATTTTAACTATTCAAATTTGAAAACTAATGGCACTAACAGAAAGTTTATAATTTTTGTGACCTAAAAGAGAAATAATTAAAAATAAACTTTAATAAAATAAATAAAAATAGCAACAATAAGTATTTTGTTGTAAGTAGAAACAAAATAAAATAAATAAAGCAACAAAGAAAACAAAAAAAAGTGCCACCTACTGGGCCCCCACGGCCCTGAATACGACTAGAAACCCAACCATGGGCCAGGATTCAGGCCCGCAGGAGGCCCAGTAGGCCCACAGGCACACAGTGCACGGTTAGGCCCGAAAGCCTGCAATTGAGAGAAGCTCGAGACGGTGGGCGCAACAGTGCTTATAAACCACTCTCGAGCTCTCTCAGCTAGCGAGGTGGTACTAAACTTTTGACGCGGGGCAACACAAGGCCTTTGGTCCCGGTTCGTGGCACCAACCGGGACTAAAGGGGTGCATTGGTACCGGTTCGTGGCACCAACCGGGACCAATGCCACCCTTAGTCCCGGTTGGTGCCACCAACCGGGACCATTGGCGAAGGCAGGAATAATTTATAGGTGTGGCGGATTTCACGAGGGAAAGACCAATGTACAATATAACTATGTGCCGCTCATGCGATGCCTCGCCCGCCCGTGGCCGCTGCCATGCCCGGCCCGGCACTTCCAACCTCACACGGTTGCTCTCTGATCGATGTCTTACTCGATCTTCTGGCACTTTCCCTAGGACCTAGCCGGCTAGGGACGGCGGGTCGGAACCAGCTGGGAAGAATCACATGAAGCTATGCAGGCTCGCGAGTTTGGAGAGTAGCTGTGCGGAGTGCCACATTCAATGGGTATTCAAAGTCTAGAATGAAAATCGAAAACATAAAGGTTCACAAATCCTTCACTGTAAAACATAAACATTTGTCGGTGTTGAATTAGTGTTCTTTGAAGCTTTTTTTCAAAAAAATCTAAAATTGCTTATTAATCTCTCTAGTTACTGCATAGTAGATTCCTTTTTTAACACAACTTACTTCATAGATCAGAAAAACAAATTCACTGATCATAGATCACACAACAACTAATCGAATTCCCCTAAAAAACAACTAATCGAATTTATAAAAAAGAATTGATGTTTACTAGTGTATGGACTGAAAAAATGGACACAGGAAGTATGAAATTTTAGAACCAATACGGAAATTTGGCACATAGAGTCATTGCTTCCGGCCTCGCCGTCGTTGGCACATAGAGGCATTAAGCTCGTCGCTTTTGGGTCTGCGCCGCGGGTGTGTTACTCGCCACCTAATTCGCTGCAGTGCCACCCGCCGCCGCCGCGTTCGCCGAGCATGGTCGCCGCCGGAATCCCCGTAACCGAGAGCTAGATCGTGCTCCTATTCCATAATTGCGGCTGTGTCTCTGCATGATTTCCATCAGTGGGCTCGATTTGTAGCGTAACTGGACTACTAGAGGCTGGAGCTGGGCTACATTCAGCTAGGTGGGCTGCTGGGAGGATAATTGGGCCATGGGCAATTTGACGCGCCTCTGAGAGTGTTCTCCTCCTCCAAACTGACGAAACTGAACTCAGCTCAAATCTTCAGACAACAATAGTATATATACGTAGTATTTTTGCCAAATTTTAGGTATGGCGCCTGCCAAACCTCGCCGCATAGCTGGCTCCGCCCCTGACCGGGACCAAAGGCTGACCGGTTCGTGGCACCAACCGGGACCAATGCCACCCTTTAGTCCCGGTTGGTGCCACCAACCGGGATCAAAGGCCACCGCTTCCCGCCCTTTGGGCTACCGAAAACTAATCTTTGGTCCCGGTTGGTGGCACCAACCAGGACTAAAGGGGGGCACTGGTCCCGGTTGGTGCCACAAACCGGGACCAATACTCTGTGTATATAAGCAACACTTGCCAAATTTTCGTTTCAGTTCTTCTTCCCCGCCCCGACGACGCCGCCAGGCTGCCCCGACGACGCCGACCTCCTCGACGCCGCCAGGCTGCCCCGACGTCGTCCGCCCCTGTCGTCGTCGTCGCCATCGCACGCGCCCGTCGTCGCCGTCGCCCGCGCCGTCGCCC